ATAGAACCATCGTATGCGTTGGTCCCGGCTGGCAGACAGTTCTCGGCCGTGGTTCTCAATAAGTTGGCCATTTCTTGCGGGACAATTTCCTTGTTAGAACGCAGAAACCGGAAAGTGTTCATGAAGTCGCCAGTTTTGGTCACCAAATCCAAATCCTTGACTCTCTGATAGACCACATTGTCTGCCTCGCCATGACACCACTGTGCACCCAGATCGATGACATTGTCCGCAAACGGAATGGTATTAATGCGTCCGCCAATGCGGTCCTCCGCCTCCATGAGGATGACATTCTTGAAGCCAAGCTCAAGGAGGCGTGTGGCAGCTGCAATGCCCGAGGGACCCGCTCCGATGACCACAATGCGAGCTGTTTGCTTGGTCGTGTTCAGAAAGCGAGCGGGCGCGGAAACTGGACAAGTGGTCATTGTACTAAGGGATCAGAGATGTTCTGGGATGATGGCTATAGCGACTGCTAAGCCCGCGCGAATGGAGCTTGTATTTATATGTTTGGATAGGTGGCTTGCTTTTGCGAAGGGCCACTCGGGTTAATTGGTTTTGGTTCTGTGGTTTCTATAATCAACAGCTACATATATATCTTTTTAAATATTACCCTTACTTTGACATTGAGCTTGCTAAAATGTTTTTTTTTTTTGTTTACCTTTTAATATTTAATTCTATCTTTTTAATATGTCATGCCTTAAAGCTTGCTTGAAACTAAATTGATAATGCTAGAAACGAGTACAGGGTGTCTCACAGTTGAGCACAGAATGTAATCAAATTGCAAATGTCTGAGAATCGCATTCCAGCTGTTGCTTGGTATTTAGTTTCTGCGTGGATAATAAATACTGCATCCCACTACATAGAAAAACCTTCGCAGTGGATTAATCAACAATATGTTCGCCAATTTTATTGCTTTACACTTATAACTTCCATATTTGAGCAGATTCTTGTTTATGTATACGTGACATTTGATAAGTTTCAAATTCAACTTGTGCTTCATTCTTGATTGTCGTTTCACCGACAATTATCGATAGCTAACAATCGGGTCACGCACATTTATATTTGAGAAATAACACAAATTAATTAAAACTTTATACGATTTTATTAGTTTACAAATAATAATTTCCATATTTGAGCATATTTCTGTTGCACATAAACTTTATTGACACCCAGACACAAGTTTCAAATTGAACTTGTGCTCAATTCTCGATTGTCGTCTAACCGATAATTATCGCTGCTTATAATCGACGTTTAACAATCGCGCCACGCCCATCTCATAACGCATTGCGGCTGTTGTAATAGTCATTGAGGCGATCGGCCTCACGCCAACCGGTTTCTGTGGCGCCATGCACACAGGAGAAGTGTGTCTTGTGTGTTGCCTCGCCAGCGAATTGGACGCGCGGCCTGCCGCCGGCATCGAGCAGTGGCGTCTCCAGGTCCCAGGGACCGGTGCGTAGCTCATCCGTGTAGGTGGTGCGCGAGCTATAGCTGCCACGGAAGTTGGGATTGGAATGCCATTGGGTGCGCACGATGTTCAGCGGTTGCGGCATGTCGAAGGGCAGGAACTTGCGGAAGAACCATTGTAGACCGTTGACCACTTCTTCTTCTGTTAGGGTCTCCATGTGGCGGGCGTGCTCGCCAATGATCCAGCCTTGCAGGAGGCGTGGCTGATGCAGAACGCGATGAAATCCGAAAACGCTCTCCAGCCAGAAGCGTTCGGTGCCGCGCAGCTCCTCCAGATCGGCCTCAAGCCACAAGAAATTGATGCCAACCCAATCTGGCGGCAAGGGCATCGCAGCGTACTCCAAGAAAAACTTATTCACGGTGCCCAGCTTAAGTCCCTTGATGGCGCGCACCTTGGGAGGAGGCAGCGCCGGCACAAACAGCTGCTCGTGGCACTCTTTGAGCACACCCAAGGACACCGTACAGATGACATGATCCGCGGTGAGCACCTCGCCATCCCAACAGCGCAGCAGCAGCTCATCGGCACCTGCCCAATTGATCTCAGTCAGGCGCTTGCTGAGCTGCACACGTCCGTTGAGCACGCCCAGATCTTCGGGCTGTTCCGGCTTGGCATTCATAAGCAGCTTCAGGAAGGTCCTGTAGCCCTTATCGCGCCAGTTGAGCAAAAATTCACCATCGCTTTTTTCAAATTCCAAGTGTGCACGTCTGGAGACCTCAAACAAATGATCCGAAGCCGTGAAGGAGCATCTTAACTTCTTCATGGTCTCCAGCATCTCTTGAGCGATTGTGCGATCCACGGCCGGCGACTTGGCCAGGATATGCCAATAGTTATTCGTTAGATGATCCCCCAGCGATCCGTTGCTTTCGTTGGGTCCCGTTGGCAACGCCATTTCTGCAGCTGCGCCCAGCACATAGGCCGTCTCGGCGGGCAGGATCTCCTTGTTGGAGCGAACAAAGTGCACCGCCTTCAGAACATCGCCAGTTCGGTCCAGAAGATTCAAGTCCTTGACGCGCTGATAGACCACATTGCCGCTCTCGCCATGGCACCATTGTGCGCCCTTGTCAATCACACTGTCCCCGAAGGGCACAGTATTAATGCGTCCGCCCACGCGATTCTCTGCCTCCAATAGCCTCACATTCTTGAAGCCCTGCTCCAGCAGCCGTGTGGCCGCGGCAATGCCCGAGACGCCGGCTCCAATGACAACTATGCGCGCCGTTTGCTTCGTCTTGTGCGAGCTCATGTTTTTTAGTGGAATATTTTTCGCGTGACGACTTGATAGGTTCTACGTTCAGCCACTGACTGAGGCTGAGCAGCAACAATCCAACTGATTTATATATATGATCTGAACTTAGCTCTCAATTAAAGCACGTTTCCCACATCATTGAGAGTTGCTCTCAGCTAATTATAGTTTTTGAACTTGCAGAGCTAGATTTTCTTGATTATTAAAATAGTGCAACAAGCTTCGATTACTATCAGCCATATAATTTTAAAAAATAGGTCAAGCCTTTAAATTCTTCAAGATCGACTGGTTTGAGATAGAAAATGATTCTACTTAGCATGATTCTTGTTGGGTATCTATATGTATAAAAATATGACTGATTGATAAGGTATTTTTAAAATTCCACCTAGAACTGTGGAAAATTGGCTCAAGCTTATTTCTACCTGCCATGGTGGAATATTTATATCAGAGATTGACTGCGTCAAATCTGAAGTAAAACTTTAATGTGAATTTATTTTGTTTTCTATCAAAATCAGTTTTGCTTTAAAATCAGTTTAAACAATCTACGTAAATTCACGTAATTTAACGAATTTAAATACATACATTCCGCTAAATTCACCCTCATTGGGATCAAAGTTTGTACGGATACAGTCAAATTTATGTCCTAGCTTGAGGTAGAAAACTGCGCCCGATCAAAGCCGGGTAACAACCGCATTATGTATATTATATTAATTAATATATATTATATTGAATTCTGCCTTTTATTGTTTTTATTTGTTATATATTTAATTATCTATACCCGTTTTAGCATGTTTGATGGATACAGTGCCTGCAAATCACACATGAATATAAATGCAATTAAAATGACGTATACAATTGACCTTGATTCGTATTGTTGTTACTAGCTTAATCAGTTTTAGTTGTTGCCATTATAATTGTTGTTGCTGCAATGTTCCCCAGCTAGCAAGCGGCACAGATTGTGGCATGTATTTGTTGTCAAGGCTAAGGTCAATGCTAGATAGAGAGTTTATGAATTCTAGTTTGATTTTTTCCATAAGAGTCTCTCTCTTCTGTGATTATGGTGCTGCTCTCAGCTTGTCTGATAAAAAATATTAAATGAAAACAATTATAATATATATATTTGATAGAATTAGTTCCAAGTGCACGAGTTATGATTATACTAATTGTGGTGTCAAGTATGTTATTTTTATGCAAGCCTTAATAGTTAATAATTTTCTTTCTTTCATCTCATATCAATCTGACGTTATTTTGCCTGACTTTTATCTTGGCTAAATTGTGGCAGTTTTACGCTTATCGGATATGGGTATTTTATTTCGTGCCTCTTGCCGAGCGCTTATCTCTTATCAGACCAAAATAGTCGCATTAAGACAAATGGTAACAAAAAGTAGTTAAAGTATTTCAAAATCGTATTGCTTTTATTATTGTTGCCCGTTGTCTTTGTTATTATTATGATTACGATTATGATTGTGGTTTGCCTTTATCATTGGCTCTCGTTTGCCTTTGCTGGCCACTTAGTTCGCTCGGGTTGGATTACTTGTGGTTTCTATCTTATCTGCAGTGGTTTTATTTGTGTGAATTTAGGCAATATTTGGCAAATGCAATTTAATCTTATTAATTAAATTACATAACCACAGAGCATTTAATATAAATTCGCTTATATTTCCCCCATAATAGTTTCTTATCATATGCTGTCTGTGCGTAATGTGACCTATACACAAATGATTAATACATAAAAGTTCTTAGTTCTAATTGCCCAAGTAAATTGCTGTCAGGCGGCAAACGTTTGTTATTTATTTAATTAATATAACAATTTCATAATTTATTTAAATGCTATTTAATTCACATATTTATGGAAGTTGTTGATAGCTGATTCACTTGGACAGCTGAAAACTAAGATCCGCGTTTTAATCTCAGGCTAGTTTATGGATCTTATATTATCTTTGCCAAATGCTATAAAAGCTGCTGCTAGTTTGGTGGATAGTTAATAGCTATTTCATATAGTAGACGAGGCTTTGAAAAAGTCAAATCCCAGAAAAAGATTGTTATTTAAAAAAAAAACATTATGAAATTTTTATTTATATAGGACTTGTGTTGACTATAATCGCCATACCTCTCTCTTGCAATTAAAATGCTTTACACAAATCGAAACAAATCCATATGGCAACAAAAATTCAATAGTTATAGGAAATATTCAATTTGTTGTTACGAAACATGAAAATTGAATAAATATTTAATTTGCATAAACTTACATAACATTTTCAACGCAATGTTCCCCTTTTCCCTATTTTGTGTACACAGTATTGCAGTGCTGACATGGGCGAGAGCAAAAACATAAACATTGCCACGAATACCACCAAACATGGTTACCACAATTACAACAACAACAAAAACAGCAACAAGAAGAAGCATGCACAGCAACAAAAACAACATTACCACGAAACTAATGGCCTACAAAATGAGTTGAACCCAAAACACGATGCGCTAGAGGATTTTGCTGGCTACGAAGCCGAGGAGCAGCAGGAGGAGCGACATGTGGCCAGCGATGAGGCAGAGCTTGTCGCCGACAATGTGAACAGTAAGGTTAGCAACGAGGAGACCTCCTCATCGGAACAACAGCCCGATATTATACCCTATCCGCTGAGCGTGGGCGAGACCAGCTGGAAAAGCGAAAAACTACGCAGACAGCAACAACAGCAACAACTGCAACAAGAGCGTTGGATTCGCACATAGCGTAAAATGAGACTTGAACATTTCCCAAGCAAGCGTTGAAAATTGATCAGTTGAGCGATAGAACTTAAGATTTGTACAGCATAGCGATATAAATGTATTTTGAATTATTGAAAAATTGAGATTAAGCTTGTAAAGAAAAACAAAAAAAAAACTAAAATAGTTGCTTGGGAAATGGTTTAGGATTTGAGCTAAATGAGCACTAAGTGTAAGTATGTGGATAATTATCAGATGAGGAAGAAAAAAACCAGAAATACAAAATACGAAATACCTAACAACAGACAGACAGGAAAATACTGGCAAACACTATGATTCTGTATTTTGTAATCTTTGAGACGTAAATAAATGAATAAATAAATCTTAAAATACGGCATTGATATGTATTTTTGCGAGCACATATACAGAAAAATTGCTTACAATAAAATTACAAAACTATCAAAATTGCAATTAACTATAAATGTTGGCAAAGCTATGTGAAAAACTGCCCGAAACAATAATCTAATTTTAATATATAGATGTACAATAAATGGCTTGCTTTTCGAGTGTATCCAAGCGTTATTTGATAGAAAGAAAAAAATGCTAAACAAAATAAAACAGAAGAGTTACATGTTTCAAATATAATTGTGCTATATACTCGCATATATCCAGATGCTTTGTAAGTGTATTAAAGACTCTGCTTGAAAAAAAAACACATCAGTTAAATGTACCAAGTATTAAACAGTTGAAATAGAGTATATATATGCGAACATTGGGGTAACAATATTTGACCCCACTGTGCTTAACTTAAAAGCCTAATTGCTCTCCAAAACATATCCCAACAAATATATCTCAACCGTGTGCTATAATTTATTGGTAAATTTAAAATTGAAAAAAAAAAGAAAATTAAAAAAAAAAAATAAAACACCAAAGCTTGTGCATACTCATAACCCATATCAATTGTATCGATGTAAGTTAATTACTAACTACAGAATCTTAGTTGAGGACACACTAAATATAAATATATATTAAAAAAAAAAACATTATGAAAGTTACAGAAATTTAATTAATTACTTGACGCTGTTAGACTACGCTGCCTTTGTTAAGCTTTCGATCCATTTATTCCATTGCTTTTGCCATTTGTCCATGCCCTTGGACTTCTCCTCATCCGTGAGCCCGCTGTACCGAATGGAACTGATTGCCAGGTGCTTCAGCAGCTTCAGATCTGCACTAAATGGCGCAATGCCCAGGAATGCAAAGTAAAAGTCATGTGTGAGGGGTGTGGCACGCCAGAAGGACGGATCATCGGATGCGATGACAATGGGCACATCATTCGCTATCAACATGGCAGCCGGATGATTGCGATAGTCCTGGCCCAGCTGCAGCACCTGATTCGACACTGGGCACACCTCAATGGCAATGTCCAGTTTCTTGACCATCTCAATGGCCACCGGATGCTTGACAATGGCATAGCCATGCCCGATGCGCTTCGTTCCGAGCAGTATGGCATCTATCAGATTCTCATCGATGGAGGTGCCGAACCAGTTCGTTTCGCCGCAATGAAAATAGAAGTTTATATCCTCGGGCATCTTGAGCAATGGCTCCACAAAATCAATCAGTGGACGCCCGAGCTCCTCTTGGCCCACCAAATCGAAGCCTGTCAAAAATGTGGGAAATTCTTTCTGCAATATGCATTTGGATTCAGGTACAGTATTTAAAGATTCCCTTTTTACTTACTTTAAGTGCAATACATTTCTGTACATACTCATCTACAACTTTTGGTTCGACGCCTCGCAGCGGCGCATAGATGAGCCTGGCACCAATAAAATCCGGATTGTTGGCCATGAAACGTTCCGTTTCGGATTTATATATAGCCACTGTGTCGGTCATCTTCAGAGGCGTTCCATCTAAGCAGTAGAGATCTGGTAGCAGGGACCTCAGCTCCAGATACTGCACACCGTCCGCATACATCTCCGTCAGGGCATTGTAGTAGTATTCAGCCCAGATGGGCGCGTAGAGCAGCAGTCCATCGAGCAGTATGAAAATGCTCATGAACTGGTTCCAGGCCTGATTGTTGGACAGAAAACTGGAGAACGGATACATGCTGAACCTGCTTTGCAGATACTTTTTCACATTCTCTTCACCGCGACGCTCACGGAAATCAGCCATTGGCTCCCAGTTGCACTCCTCCATTGCCTTCATTGTGGGCTTCGATTTGGAAAAACGAAATGCAATTGCCCGGCAGCCCTCGTCCGCGGTGCATATCCACAGATTCTCGCGGTAGGTGAGGCCAATGAGAAACTCGGTGCTGCAGAGTGCAGTATCATGGGCATGCAAGATACCGCCCTTGGGCATTGTCTTCAGCAGGCCAAATAGCGGCGATCTCTCCACCTTCTTGAGCACCTGAAATATGTGCTGGCCGGGAGTGAATTTGGACGGATTCAGAAAACCCTTCTCCAGCTCTTTGGACTTAGCTGTCATCAACACCTTATTGGCGGCCGACTCTTTATCCGTTAGCTGCATACTGTTGCCCAGACTGGAGGCACGCTCCATTTGGATCATAATGCTGCGCAGCGTGGAATATGCCTCCGGCGTAATGTCCCTCAGACTGCGGCTCATTGATAGGGGCTCGTACTTCTTGCCACATTTTGCCGTCTGACCCGACATATGGCGCAACGCTCGCATTAACAGGCCTGAGGACATTTTGGTACAAATTTTGTAGGCACTTTTCTTTTTTTTTTTAAATTTGTTACAATATTTGAGTTTAAACTGAAACTCGTGTTGAAACATTGCGCACATTTGTCAATGTGATGCACATTTGCCGGCGGCTCACGCATTTCCGCTTTAACACACGCATGCTTCGACACCCACCCACCCACACACACACACATACACACACATAGTCCATTCGACAACTATACGCGGACTTTATTAGTTATTTATGTGGATGGCTCTGGTTTTTAATGCCCGCGCGCCCTCAACACCACATTAAATGTGGCCGTGCCCAACATCAAATTGATGAGCCTGCCACCATTTTGCGCCCTTTAAGCATACACACACACACACACACGCAGATACATGGCCATCAATTTTATGGGCTCATACATATTCGGCCAGGCGTAAGCCGAACCTAACTCTGCCCTGACATGGCCCGTAACGCGGCATGGAATGCATTTTGCGTTGGCCCATAAAACTCTGCTGATTACGCGCGCTCAAATCAAAATCGAACCATGGCCAACAGATTCGCCGTTGCCACTAAGCAGGAGCACGTAAAATTGATACATTTGGAGCACTGCTCAAAGCAATCATTGGGGTCCTGCAAGGCATTCCACATTCATTAAACATCGACCACTTTTCTGTGCACTCAGCAGCCCTCTGAGAGGCTAAGAGATTTATGCCCAGGTCGTATGTCAGCCTGCCAAATGCAGTGCCCGGCATATCACTTAGAGATGCAACTCAGATTACGAGGAAACTGCGTCCACGGAACGCTATTAATCGGTAAGTGCAAGATATCTCGGGTGAAGTAGATATAAAAATCGTTTTCTAATGTTCATTTCTAGCATGTTCTTTATCATAATGTTACTCTCTATGAGTGGGTCTATAATGGGAGCTAAATTAAATATAATCAGACCCAAGCTATATTAGCCTCATGGTAAATTTGTCTTCTTGGCAATTGATATAATCTTTATAAAAGATTATTTTTCAAAGCTCATTGCAAATTTAACGTTTAATGACTCTTCTATGTTATATAAGATCCATATCGCCAGTTCAAGAGACAGTATCATAAGTGGATTATGAATTTCACGTTACCATCTCCAGGCCCGAGCATGGCAAAGCTTGACTGCACAACTGATTGCATTTATCCTGAGGTTGCTTTTAGCCGAGTTGCATATGAATTGCGGCATTACGAGCTAGTAAGCCGAACTCTTTATTCAGAGGTTTTAGTACAAAAGCTTATAAACAGATCAATTAAAGTGCGAAATCTCTTATGTACTTAACGTGAAAGTCGAGTGAGCAGAAGAACTTAACAATATACCTAAGCACTAATCAATATTAATTAGCTTAAAACGAAATAGCGTACGGGATATGAATTCGGATGAACAGGTGCGTGAATAGGAAGCCAGTGTAAGACCCAAATACACTGTGCCACAGCTGAGTATAAACGAGGCATCCGGTGCCAATGTTATCATCGTGTAAGATTGGTCCGCTAGAAATCGTAGGCAGTCCAGACTAGCGCCAAAGGCCGGCGTTCAGGAGGGAGAACATAGCCAAAAGCGCTGCCACCACCCGTGCTAGTCAATCGAGGTGTTGACTGGATGCACTGCTCGGCTGGACGTTGTTTACGTAGTCCAGGAACTCGTCCCATTTCGTCTGCCATTTAGAGAGCGCATCGATCTTCTGGTCGACGGTGAGGGAGCTGTACTGAATGGAGTTCAGTGCCAGCTTTTTGAGCAGCCGCAGATCTGCATGCTGCGAGGCGATGCCCAGAAAGGCAATATAATAGTCATGGGACAAGGGTGTGGCCTTCCAGAAGCTCGGATCATCGGATGATATGACGACAGGATAGCCATCGGCAAAGAATTGAGAGCAGGGATGATTACGAAAATCGCTGACCAATTTTAGCACCTGATTCGACACGGGATTCACCTCAATGGCCACGTTCATCTTTCGGACCAAGCTGAGCGCAACCGGATGCTTAACCAGACCAAAACCATGACCAATGCGCTTGGTGCGCAGCAGCAGAGCATCGATCAGATTCTCATCGACAGAAGATCCATACCAATTCGTCTCGCCTGCATGAAAATAGAAATCAATATCCTCCGGCACTTCCAGCAGCTGATCAACGAAATCTCTGAGTGGACGGCCTACATCCTCCTGGCCAACCAAATCGAAGCCCGCCAAGAATTCCGGGTACTTTTCCTGCAACACGAATAAGAGATTAATTCCGTTGCTAAGCCGGAGAGAAGCAGGTACACTTACCTTAACCTGCTTAAGGGTTTCAATGTAACGTGCCACGCCTTCGGCATCGGTATTGCGCAGGGGCGCATAGATCATACGCGAACCTATGAAATCCTTGTTCTCCGGCTGGTTCTTGAACTTTTCTAGGGTCTCCACATAGATGCGCACAGTGTCCAGCGGTGTATATACAGTTCCTTTCAGATCGTAGAGCTATGGGAATGGTCACATTTATGATCTAGAATTTGTTGTTGATTTATCGCAACTTACTGTGGGAAGTGTGGAACGGAATTCCAGATATTGAACACCATCGGCCGAAAATTCCTGCAGCGCCTTGTAGTAATAATCGCCCCAGACAGGCGCATACATGAGCAGGCCATCCAGAAGTCCGAAGATTTCCATAAATCGGGACCAAGCTGCATTAATATCCTGAAAGTCTGTGGTCGGATACAGAGTTAGACGCTCGCCCAAGTAGGCGTCCACCCTGTCTGCGCCGTATTGGGCGCGCACCTCGGACAACAGGCTCCAGTCGCAGTTGTCTTCGGTCAAGGGCGTGGGCTTCTCCTCAGCAAAGCGCAGAGCTGAGGCACTCAGGTCGCCAGCCTGCTGGCAGATCCACAGATTGTCATAATAGGTCAACTCAATAATGGCATTGGTGCTGCAGAGCGCCGTGTCATGGGCATGCAACACCGCACCTTTGGGCATGTGCTGGAGCAGCTGGAACAACTTTGTATTATTGATGGCCTCTAGCACATCGAAGATGTGTTGCGAGGGCTTGAACAGATGCGGCGTAATTTCGCCCTGCTCAATCTCAGCCAGCTTGGCCTCCATTATGGTCGCGTTCGCCTGTCGCTCACGCGTGTTCAGCTCCACGTCGTAGCCAAGTGCTCTGGATTCCTCGTAGCGGAAGAGGGCATTGCGCATCGTCTTGTACGTATCCGGACTGGGTCGGTTGTCGCCCAGCAATATTTCCACGTGCGATGTGCCGGCGCTGTAGAGCGATACGAATTTCGTGATGGTCAGATCATTGGGCCGCGAGCGTGAGTCAGACGGGCCCAGAGATAGGCAGAGGCACAACAGCGCGATTAGATTAGCTGGCTGCAGCATTTCACGGATTTATCGTAGAGCGTGAATCGTGAGTCGGGAATTGTGAATCGGGAATCGGGAATCTTATGCGTGTACGTCAATGTCCGCGGTACAACTGAGAACCGGGCACTTGGTACTGTCCAGTTTTATTGAGCAGTTTCGCGTGCCGTGCGACCTTATCTATAAAGAGTGAAACCGATTTGAGTGCTTTGGCATTATCTTTGATTTAACACGTGTTTCTGCATATGGGCGATAGCTGAAAGCCAAAAGATCTGATTGAATACATTTCCTGCGCGGCCCACATCTCAGGCACAGGTTCAGCTGGCAACGGGCCCTAATCAACGCCAATCAGACAGGAATCTTGATTTATGAAAGCCATAGATTAGATTACGTACGCCATTATAAGTACGTTAGTAAAGCCCGGTACAGTAGTTCACACATAAACTCAAGTGCAATAGACCACATACATATTTTATGGACCTTCGATGACTGTTCAGGCAAGTACAATAACCGCAGTTCAAACAAGTATCGAATTGAAGGAAATATGTTATAAAGCACTTCAACAAAAAACAAAAAAAAAAAAAAATGATAAAAACCAATTATCATACAAAAGTGCTCTAGTCGTCAGTGCCCGACTAAAAATTACCCTGAACCTAGCGCTGGGCTATCGCTTCAATTGAAAACCTTTTATTCTTGTATATATAGGTGTTTACGCAGAGCCTTCTTCTAGCTTAGAGCTTCCTTTCACTTAACTTCGGAGTACATAGTGCGATCTTTTTGATATTTTCAATACCCATATATGACTAAAAATAGCAGTTGATAGAAAAAAATAAATAGAAAGATAGATAGATAGATAGAGAGAGAGAGAGAGAGACGTATTGTTGCGTAGGGTAGCATAAAATTAATATGTAGATTCCTATAATATCTTCAACAACCAATTTATCAAAATTTGTATAGCACGCCAAATTATAAATATAAATCCCGTTAACTGTGGCTGATAAAGTTCGCCACCCATTGATCCCAATTGTTATGCCAAATGGACATTGCCTTTTGTTTCTCATCCCCGGTTAGGGCGCTGTACATAAACGAGTTCATGGCCAGCTGCTTGAGCAAACGCAGATTGCCCTGTCCATTGGCAATGCCAACAAATGCCACATAGAAATCATCGGTGAGCGGTGCCGCATTCCAGAAATATGGATAGTCCGAGCCAACAACGATGGGATAGCCAGCAGCAATCAGATACGCCGCCGGATGTTGACTAAAATCGTTCACATACTGCAGATAATAATTGGACAGTGGACACACCTCGGCGGCCACCTTCAGCATCCTGATGGCCTTCAACATTTCCGGATGCAAAGGCAAATTCAATGAGTTGCCTAGTCGCTTGCTGCCCAGCAGCAATGCATCAATAATATTTGTATCTGGCGCAAGGATTGTGGAATTCAAGCAACGCGATTCTCCCGCATGGAAATAGAAATCGATTTCCGAACTGATATGCAAGAGTTGCATTGAATTTCCAAGCGGCTCCATATTGCACTCATCTCCAAAGTTGATCAGATCGAAGCCAACGAAAAAGCTGGGGAACTTGGCCTAAGGACAAAGATACAAATCAATGGCAGCTGAGGAAATGTAAATTCCTAGCAAAAATGTGGTAATCATTTTTCTAAGACAGCTGAGATAGCCCGCTATTATGCCTTTCGCTGCTAAACGCTTACAATTCTTAACAAGTTAAAGCTTGAAAGAGGGAAGAAGAATTTTGCAGACCTGGAACCAGATGGGCAGACAGCAAGACTATATCGACATGACTATTGTTCTTTCAGACATATGATCAGGCATGGACAATTAAAACAACTTGAATCGCAAGAATACCATAGAGCAGCCTACCTTCAGAAGACGTGCATTTTCTATATAAGTGTCCATGGTGCTGTCATTGTAATCCCGCACTGGGGCATAGATGAGCTTGATGCCAATGAAATCATCGTGAGTGGATCGGAATATGTTTGTAGCGGTAACAAGAGAATAGGCCGTATCCCAAATTGTATAGTTAGTGCCAATCAAATCATACATCTGCGGGATCAGGTGGCAGTTAGATATACATATAAGATTTGTACAACGGAGAACGCCGACTAGCTACTCACGATTGGCAGCGAGGAGCGTAGCTCGACATAACTGACGCCATCGGCATAGAAATCCTCAAGCATGCCAATCAGGAAGGTGGGCCATATGGGCCGATATGTGATTAAGCCGTGGATGAGACGGTGCGCCCGCCTCATGTGATTGGCCAAATGAGTGGCGTTCATGAACCCATGAGCATCAATGGATAGACTTTGGCGTAGCCTCTGGATGTATGAACGATCGTACTCCATTCGGATGGTGCTCATTTGCATCCAGGTGCATTTGTAGTTACCCTGCGGCTTGATTCTCGGATACGTTTGCGAGAAACGAAAGTCCTCAAAGGTGCCATCGATACCCACACAGGTCCACAGATCAGAATAGTTTGTTAGCTCAATGAGCAGATCCGTCTTGAACATGCCCGCGTCGTGCACGTGCAGCAGCCCACCCTTAGGCATGCTGCGCAGCACACTATACAGATCCGTCTCATTGAATTTGTACTTGGCTAGAAAATGCGGCCGAGGTTGATAATCGCTCCAGATGTGATGCAGTTCTTCGTCCACCTGCTTAATGGCTAGTAGACGCTCATTGGCAATTTCCTCAAGCGGGTTCAGCTTCACTTTGCCGCCCACGCGACGCCGCCGCTCCCGCATCAGAAAGTCCTGACGCAACCTGGCGAACCGCTGTTCCGGCGAGCACGAGTAATAGTCAACGCTTAAATATACTGTCCATACAAGCGCCAGTATCATTGTGCTGATCAATATGATCAAGCTGATATGCCAGCAAATGTTGGCGTATTTGGCGCTACGTTCCGGATTCAAGTCGTCACCATCATCGCTGGGTGTTGGCCGCGCGGGCGCATTGTCCGCACGCCGGATGGGATTGCGGTGCGGGCACTTCGGAAAGCTGAATTGCCATTTACCACTTCTGGCTGCCATTACCAAAAATTTTGAACTACAAAAATTTTCGAAAAATTTTCAGAAACTTTACGTTTGACTTGTATGCGAAAAACAAATCATGACTGGGGCTGGGACTTCCAAATCGGACCCAGCTGATTGGAAAAGCAAAGTTTAATGTTTCGACTGGTAAGTCGGATGATCTTTTTAAAAAGAAACCCAACAACAATAAGATTATCTTGATCAGTACACTTAAGACTCTATCTTTTAGGCCTTCGCCTTGGCGTCATTGCAATGGTTGCCATATGTCCGCACATATTTATCATGTGGCAACTTCTGTCGCTCTTTAAAAATAACCCAAACAACCGGCAAGAGATTAAAGGCAATCGAAGAGCGATGGCCTTCGCTTGAAGTAAAAAACAAGAGTTCTATAAATGGTAGTGCCTGGCTAGAAAATACCCTGAACCCATCTCCGATTATTTTTCAATTTCGGGGGTAATGAGGAAAGTGAAATATTCTTCATCCATAAAGTACTTTTGTTTTTTTAATCTTTGAGAGTCCGAAAAAGATATCGGTAAAAGGTTTCTAGTTTGTAGCTCTGATACAGCTTGTCGCCCAACTCAAGGTATATAGTTTTTCTTGGATCGCAATGCTCTTTCTTTGGCCTGTTACATCCACTTGCACAAACTATTATACCCTTCTTACCCATCACCGATGAGTACTGGGTATGAAAACAACTCGGAGTACGGACTTTGGGCGAGCGTGTGCCTACCCGGGGGTTGCATTTATTCTCGTAACGCCAGCAGCACCACTGCGCCCACCACCAATACCACCAACACCACCAACAGCGGCACAGTGGTGAGTATGCAATGATTTAATGATTGAAAATATCTTTATCTGAGTATTTATGTATAAATAAGGTATAAATATATTATACAGTATGTCATATAATTGATGCAATGAAAATTGTTTAATACTTTTAAAAAAACGTACGGAATATATATTCTTAATCTTGACAAGCTGAGTCGATATTGCTTTATATACGTCTATCTGTCAATTTTGTGAGTTCTTAAGATAAGTCTTTTTGCTGCAGCTAGATTAAGATAATAAAAAATTGTTTTAATAAATTAGTTTAAAAAATAATAAGTTCAAATTGGGCTACGCACATTGTTGTTAACCCTTAGGGATAAAAATCTTCTATATATTCCAGTCTCAAGTAACATAGACGCGATCCTATACAAATTTTCTATATAAAATAGATGGATTTGTTAGGCATATAAATTCCACATGTCCCATAAATTTTGCCAAGGCTATTAAAGTATTAAATTGCCATAAAATAAAAACCTGCACACTGTGCAAGCCGCTGCTTGCAACAAATGCTCTGTGTGTGAGTTGTTGGTGGTGTCGATTTCGAAGCCGCATGCGACGCATGCGACGCATGTCACACAGCTGAAGTCGCAAGCGGCTCTTAGCAGCTGACTGGGACCGTGATTCGAAACGGGGGTTGCGCCCGGCACAAGTTGTATGCATCAGCGGGAGACAGCAAAGGCAAAAGCAACTCGTCAGTTGGAAGTGCGTACTTGTCGAGGCAGCACAACGAAATGCAGTTAAGGCAACACGGTAAGCCAGCCATACACACACATCCTGTCCAGCCCAAAGCACAATTGAATTCGTCTACTTCCGCCGTCGTAGCTACTGCCACCTCTTTGGAGACGCTCAACGATGACTGTCTGCTGCTCATCTGCGCCCAGCTCGCAATTGGGGATCAGTTTGCGCTGCTACAGCTGGGCGGCAGGCTGCGGCAACTAGTGCTGGCGATTTGGCGGCGCAAATACGCCAGCGCATTCGATTGGCAGCGTGAGCCGCAATTTAAATGCCTAAGCGCCCGCGAGCAGAGTCAGCTGCTGGGGCACATGAGCCGGCTGACACGGGCGCTGCTTAATCTTAGCGTTGGCGAGCACTTGCCGGCCTGGCTGAGTGGCAGCTCGCAACGGAAACGGACACGGAAGCGCATACGCATGCCACACATGCAAAGGCTTAGCTTTAGGGCATGCAGCTCGGCAGCGCTGCTGCGGCAACTGCCTCGAATTTGCGAAAACCTTGGCCAGCTGCAGCTGGGCGTCTTTGACAGGCTGACGCCCGCGGAACTCTCCACGCTCTTTGTCCAGCTGCCACGTCTGAGTTTGTTTGAGCTGCTGCCAGGCAGCATCTGTGGCGCTCCGGCAGTAGCCTTGGCCGACATTGAATATTGCCAAACGTTGCAAACGCTGAAATTGCCAGCGTGCGCGTTGCGGGCGGCGGGCACGAAAATATCACGAATGCCGCAGCTACGTCAATTGACAGGCTTCCTTTGCTCCAGCACCTGCCGCTGCAGCAGCAACATTGACGACGACAAAGCGCAGCCAAATGCTGGCACCGTGGCCACAGCGACCATATCCGCTTGCCTGACGGCGTTGAGCGTTGGCAAAGGTGGTGCTGGTGGTGTCGCCTGTCAAATTGTGGGGCTGCATTTGCAATGCCAACTCGATGCCAGGCTGCCGCGTCTCCTGGCCGACCACCTGAGTGTGGTGCGGCTGGAACGCATCGCTTGGCACTCGCAGCTGATGGTGCACTATGATGCCTCCGATGGCAGCATCAAGTGGCTGCCGCAGGCGCCGCAAGTGCCGTCCGCTATGCTCCGCTTTATTGTCAGTCAGGCGGCGAGCTTGCATGAACTGGATTTCATGCGTAATGTGCATGTCACGCCCACATTTCTTAGACAACTTACCGAGCAACTGGGGCCAGCCAGCGAGCTGCTGGCCGTGTGGCATGATGCCTGCCCAAGGGCCCGGATGTCAGACGAGGAAACGGATATGGACAGCAGCAAAAACGACTTGGCGTTTGTGGAGTTGCAATTGAAACAGTTGGTTAATGAAAAGGCGAACTGTTGATAGGCACAAGGGGATCCAATCCAATCAAAAGGGTATTCTCGACTAATAGTCGGATTTATTATGTAAGCAATTTATTAAGATATTAAAACAAACAAACTAAAATACTTGTGGATGATTTTAAATCTGAATACAAATTGCAGTGTATATGTAAGTTGGCTATATGGTTATTGCTATTAACTATTAGGCCCCAAAAACAAAAGAAAGATTAACATCGCATTTTATAAGCTAAATTAGGAAAGCTGCGACTATATAATTGAAAAGACGCGCCCTTTAGAAATCGAGAACTCTTACCTATCCTATCAATTAAATCTAGTTCAATTATATTTTTACAATCTTAATTAATAATATAGATAAACTTACATTTATAAAAATGACAGGGTATATGTCAGACCAGCTTAGCTTGAAACGTACAGGAAACGTTATTTAGTTACCAAAATTGGCTGCTACCACGAAATACCCTGTATAAGGTGGAAAGAAACCAGCATAAATCTACGTAGTTTCATTATTCATTGATGAACATCGAGAAGAAAAAATAAAATTTGGTTTAGTTTAGTTTTCACAAATGTAGTTAGCTCTGATTCTCGTGTTCTTTCTTAAGTTGTTTAGTTTTGACATCGATATTCATAAATTTATTTTAAATTTTGATAAAAATGACAAACCGTTTTTAGCACGATTAGGGAAACAAAATTTTGCGTTCAAAGAGTCGAAGCGCACATTTGATATCCATATTTTGATCGACGCGTGTCGGTAAAATAGATCGTATGTAAGTACTGCCTGGAGAGGATGCATCTGAAACTGCAATCTGTAACATCAATGTGTAAGATATGCCTATCTCTTTCCATGGACACTGTTAGAAACTCTGTACTGCTGCCCGATGAGCTCTACATTGCTTTGAGTCGATTCCTAAGATATCAGCAGGAGCATAATAAGGCTGCCTCGTGGCGACATTGCTCTGAAAGTGACTCCGATGAGACGCTCGACGCAGCATACGTAAAACACACCTACCACAAAAACTATCAATCTATAATGCGTTCGAATAAACCTAATGATGCAACCGATCCACCGAATCGCAAGCCCACGCCGAGCAATCACCAGGATGTGCCAGAAGCAGCACCGAAGTTGGTAGGTGTTTAAATTAGAATACTAAATGATGCTCTCTCTCCCTCTCACTCTCTTTCTTTTTTTCTTTTCAAGCAGCCCTATCCGCAGGAATTTTGGAATACAGTGCAGCCTCAGACGTCCAGCGTAGTGCGCCATTCGAGCGATCGTCGCGCTCGTTCCTTGAGCGCTCCGGCTTCTCGCACGGAATCTCAGCGCGAGTGCCTTAGAGGCGTTGATAATTTTGTGAGTATATAAAAAATAAAGATAATGTAAAGTTCGTGCTTAATCAAATATCTTTGACTACAGTGCCACGTTCAACCAGAAAAGCCAATTAATTATCTGGGCTTACAGCCAACTGGTGTCTACGTAAGCCATTTTCAGTACTCGTATTGAACATATTACACATTACAATGTAATCTAATCTCTAACAGGGAAAGCCAGAACAGCCAACACCAACAATACCAACTAGGGATTGCTCAGCGGTAAGTCAATCCAACAAATTCCAAAATATAGGCACAATGTGAAATTTATGCTTAAATAGCATATATACCAAAGCCAAGGCACAAAACTCTTGATTTACAGTGGAATGTGAATAAGCTATTCAAGTAGAATATTTTCCAAAATGTAAATGCAAAAGCCTGCCTACCAAATTTTCTAGACTCCTTTATAGACTTTTATTTGTGCATAAATTTTAAGTTTGCGATTCGATTTTTATCGATATTACGAATATGGGACGAGATATCGTTCTGCTTATGGTATATGGAAATATATATTTTAAATTTTAAGTATTTAGCTATTGCAGTTTGCGAGATCATATATCATATAAAGGATATTTCCGCAAAGTATTTATAGCGTTGGCTTAGCATTCAAAACTACTGATTAAGCTAATACTTATTGAATAATCCGCTCAAGAGTAAGCCTAGTCTTTCAGTAAATACCTTAACAATGCATTTTAGTTTTGCCTTTTGTTTCCCAACAGTGTCCCAATAGGCCTGGCAGCAGCAATGCCTATACAGTGCCCAGCAATGTGAATCCCTATGATTCGATGCGGTCACAATCGACAAATCAATCGAGTGACACCGTCTTTGACCAGAGCTATGAAAAATGGCTGCGACAGCAAAATCAGAGACAACAGCAGCAGCAACCGGGCTATAGTACTTGGCAAAGGAACGATCAGAGCTTGGATAATTTTGTGAGTAGCTCTGCAAAAATTTGACTGCTAACGACAACCCTTATGAATTGGGTGCATCCTTTGATTAGGAGCCTGCTCTGAATAGCACCATGATTGCCAGCAGGGCGCCTTCTAAGCAGCAGCAACAACAACAACAGCTGCTGCAGCAGCAGCAGCAGCAACAACAGCTGCAACAGCAGCATCGGATAGCAACATGCAAGTCTTCCGCTGTAGTCTATGATCCGAATCAGGGTCAATCATATCCCGCATGTTGCATGAAACAAAGGGTAAGTCGATATTGCCCTAGATAACAGCATAAAATTTATTTGTTACTTTATACGTTTCAATCTAGCAACCGGCTTCTGTTCCCAGCCAGGCGCAATATCCCTGCCAGCAAAGACCAGCAACAGCTATGGAAATGCAGCGTCAGCAGGCACAGGTAAGCGCAGGTGTCTAATGTAAATGTTGACCTCTTATTAGCATCAGATCACAATAAAAGCAGTGTGAAACGCCTGATTCGTACGACAATACGGTCTATGTACAAATGCCCCCGGCACAGCCACAGAGGCCGCCCTGCTTGAGGCCCAATATTCAGCAGCCAACCAATGTGAGTAGAAGTATGAAAAAATTATCTTCGGCATGCCGAACATTTTATATCCTTGCTATCATAAGTGAATACATCTTGAACAAAAGCAAAGTTGTCCATAGAAAAACTCATTAATTGAACAAGTTGTCCAATAGAGAGCTGATATTATAATAGTTCAATGTTGATAATATTTTGCTTAGCGATAAGATACTATATACATACATTTATATGTAAACGGTATTTAGAAAATAAGAAATGCTGAATCGGGTTAATATATCTTGATAAAGATATATATAGAAAGACACTCCTGTTTAAAGTTTCACGATAATAGATATAGAACTGAGACTAGTTTCGTATAGAAATATGACTATATCGCATAAGTTTCTAATACTGGACAAGGGGCTATATGGACTCGACGCGAAATACGTCACTCATATTCCATCAATTCCATCCAACTTTAATTATGCCACAGGTCACGTTCAGCGATCAATATATGATGGCTTCAGCTGCGAGTAGAACCCAACCAGCCAGCGATAGTTGGCCGAGCACGAGCCGCAATACCTGCTATCCGCCGATCGTGGCACCTCCTTGCCGGCCTGCCACGGTTCTGCCGAACCAGGCAACCACATCTCGATTAATGCCGTTTAATGATAATTCGACGCGTAAGTGTGCGCTGTCTATATTTTATTTAACCCACTCTTAAAGGCCCTCTCACCCACAGCTGAGGAGCGTTATATACAGCGCACCAATACGCTCTTTTTCAACGCATTGGTCATGGACCAAAGCTGTCCGGGTATTATACAGAGCTCCCTGGATGGTGTCGAGGACTTTAACGCGTACGCCTTCGACATTGCATTTGCCGGCAGCATACCAGAAAAACCATATCCCATCGATCCCATAACCATGCTGGAAGCCATTAAACTACGCATCGATTATGAGCGAGAGGAGATTCGGAAAAGATGTCCATCAGATGCGAAAATGAATGCCAAGGAAAAGTCCAAGCGGGATGCTGACTCGGATAATCTATCGGATAGCAGCAAAGATGGCCTAAGAAAATCAAAGGGAAAGGACAAAGAAAAGGAAAAGGGACGGTATTATTCGGGTACAACCATCTGGAAAAAGCAAAAGAAGGCGGGAGACACGAAATCAACTAGCGGGAAGACATCTATGTCCCGGGAGATCAGCGACATCGATAGACATTTCGCTTCCAAGAACAAGTCGGAGGTAAACGACGGTGTGCTTGCATTTCTGAAGGCCGAAAACTCTTATAAAAATGGACCCACGCCCACGGTAAGTTTTGTTAATAATAAAAAATATATAGCGGTATATATATAGAGATATATATATATATATATTTATACATAAACCCCTTAGCACTACAATGACATTTCAGCCGATATCCATTCACATGAATCCAACTTTTTTGGCTTGCCCATCAAAATGAAGATTTACACCGCAACGACATGGCCCACTGAGTAGCACACCTGATGATTCCTATGAAAAGTATTATGGTATCCACGTTTTACGAAATTGATATTTTCGAGATTTTAATCACAAAAATAAATGTAGTGTTATAATTCTTTGAAGAAAATTTGGTTCTGAATCAAATCGTCACATGCGATTGAATTTGCGTTATTTAAATAATACATTTTACGAAAAGTATGAAACAAAAGATCTTTGAAAATGATTTCGAAGCCCATCAGCTGGCCAATTTCCACCAAATTACCACAGCTGTGGGTGGACTTCCGAAATCGCTGGAATACGTATTCATAAAGTTCTAGCGTAGGGCTTTAAAAATAAATTTGAATCAAATTGGACGAAACGTAAAACTACGCCCAAGAACCACAATCGCATTTTCCACAGAGAAAGCTTAGGTTTTACGAAAGGCCTCTCAAATAATTTTTCATGTTTGGAAATGAATTTCAGCGTGAAACTTATACCACCAAATTTTAAGTGTTTTCTGTTATGGTACACACAGTTTTCAAGTTAAGAAAAACATAAAAAACATCGAATATATATCAATATAAAACCAATTTTACTCATGTAGTTACGGGGCATAAATAATTATTTTGTACATTAATTATTGTAGATTATTAATTTTGATGACTACAAGTTTTGCGCATGCCTGTGCCTCACCCATTTAATGGTCACATTTTAATTTTCATTATTATTTCTCTTTATAATGTACTTATTTCTATATTTGGAAAATTTGTTGGTCTACTAAATATGACTTTTAATCATTCTAATTTTATTATTTAATTTACGACTTTTATATAACCAACAACAAAAACTATGAACAATAGAAATAATTATCGGCTGCGATTTATCAACAAATTGCGTAATATGTATGAAGCTGCAAAAAGTCCACTTGGGAAGCATTGGGGGTACTCGTGTGCCCATAATATATGCACGCAAATAATTAATTATGTCAGAAGCACCAGCAGCTGTTTGGACGGTTTTCTTCCTAAATTTACCAAAAACGTTAATAATAGTTTGCGTAAATAATAGAAAATTTTTGAACAAGACTTTTTTTTGGTTTTAGCTGCTTTAAACACATTTTTAAATATCTACATTTACATTCATTAAAGACCTTCTTTATATTTTCCTCCTACGAGGAACATTAAGAACAATAATCGAAAGTGATTTATAAGATCAGTTATATGGGTGCATATATGTGTACCTATGTTAGTATGCGTATGTATATGTGTGTGTGCATGTGTATACACATATATGTGTGCATATTATGCACTCACATATCTTACTAAACGCAGACCCTGCTTACTTGCAGCAGTACTGCAATTTAAATAAAACGTCTTTTTAATGCAGCCCTTCTACTCGATTCTCATAAATTCTAGTAAGCCCTGCAGGTTTTTATTTTTTCACTTAGTGTTTTTTTTGTGCTATGTGTAGTGTTTATTTTTGCATGTAAGTATTTAAGTAAATAGGTATGCATGTGTGTAGGTGTAGCTGTATGTATGTAGATGTTTGTATGTAGATGTATGTATGTAGATGTATGTAAGTAGATGTATGTATGTAGATGTATGTATGTAGATGTATGTATGTAGATGTATGTGTGTATGTATGTATGTATATATGTGTGTATGTATGTATGCATGTATGTATGTATATATTTATGCATGTATTTATATATGCATGTTTGCTTTTATGTGTGTAACGCAGAATTATGGTGCCCAAAAAAGAAAATAAAATTTAATTACGGCACAGGTTATAATGCTTACTTATAATTAAATATACAAGTGTCAGCTCTTATTCTCATTCTAATTTACTTTATTCTTTCAGCTACCTCTCTTCTACCAATAGATGGCATAGAAATAAACGACGTTTGTATGTGAGTGGGTAAGTACGTATTTGTAAATATAATTAATCAGATATAAGTAAGAATATATATAAAAGCAATTCAGAGCCCAATAAGGGCTTTCAATTGGAATATAAGTGTACTATTCTCTCTCTCTCTCTCTGAATCATTTTATAAGTACAGGGTGTTAATATCGAATAACGTGTGATAAGAAAATAAAAAGAAATGATGATAGGGCAAGGCGTAGAAGCAAGAGTCAAAGAGAACAAGGCTGACGGCTGTGCGGGCGATAAAACGTAAGTGGAACAAATCTCAACTCATATATGTTTGTCTGAATGACATATATATAATGTTGCAGTATAAGAGCATAAAAGTGAACATCGCTTTGACGTCTCCTCTCACTCTCTCTCTCTCTCCCGCCCCCTCTCCCTTGCTTTGGGCGAATGAACTCTGCACGTTGCGTGGTTGACAACAAAACTAAACCAAATTGAAAGCAAAACCGAAAGCAAATATAAATATAAATACAAATCAGCTGGTCGCCAGTCGCTGGACTGGGCCACTCGCAACTGTGCAAATACGTAATATCCAACTCAAAAGGTGTCAGCGGTGCCAATTTGAAAACCTCTTTTTCTACCAATTGGCACCACAAAGCACCACACAAAGTGTATCAGAGCTTAAAAGCAAATTGGCATTTATTTTGCATGCGCAGTATTTTGCTTAACTCTTATTTAAAATTTGTTTGTTTTTTTTTTTTGTGTGTGTGAAATTTAAGTGTTGGAATATGCGGCTTCATATTTTTAGCTGACTAGGCATCCAGCGCTTGTTTATGTTAAATAACAATAAGCCCAAAAAAAGTGCATTAATTATAGTTTTTTTTTTTGTGTGTAGAAGTTCGGTGTAAAACAAAATTGATTTAATGAATTTATGTTGTGTTTTTTAAGCATTCAATAAAAAAGACGTGTGTGTTTATGCATTATTTAATAATCCAGTTAATGCCGCAAATATTTGATAAGCCTCTTAAATGCGCACTTTAATACAGCAAATTGAATTTATTTGTTTATCGGAATTAATGTATGTAAATTATGTTTTGTCATATTCACTGTTATTGTTTTACCACTTGGTGCCGGGCGTCAAATTCGATGCAAAGGGTGAAACTCGTTGCGAGGTTCTCGGACGCGATCTGCACGCCAAACACGCGTCTCAAAGACTGATCAGTCGGTGCCGATATTTCCACGAGCGAACCACAACTCGAACCCGATTCCGTTTCTGATTCTGATTCCGCTTCCATGCACTCAGCATGGTGTGCGGTGTGTGTGCGGGGGGGAACGCGCAGCATGGAACAGGAAACCTTAATGATCGTAAAGTAAACAACAAAAGTAATTTTTTGATATTTTTGTTGTCAAAAATGATATAACGAAAGTACATCATAATCGGACTGTAGGTAATGGCACTCTCTGTAAGCAGGGCACGTTGTCGTTCTGGAGAGCGAGAGCGCAGGCGAGAGACCGACTGTGAGAGCACCTTGTCACGGCGCGTCACTTTCCCTTTTGTATTTTCAATGTTAACTTTTTTTCTATAAAGATAATGACAGCACAGTGCCGGGTGCCCAATTTGGTTGGGCCCGTACACTTGTCCATAGGCAGATAAAACTGAAGAGTTTCGTATTAATTTTTATAACTGCGCAGGTTTCCTATGATTTCCAGCTATTGTTAGGACTATCAATATTTTACGTCTCGAATATGCCAAGTAATTATCTTTATAAACGATCTTGCACTTGAAATGATTGTTCAATAAGTTCTTGGAGAAATGTTAGGCTATTTTTGCTTTCTTTATATTTGCCTTCTTTATATTTGCCTTCGATTTATGCCGAAAATAGCAATCATTTAATGCGTTAATTATTGCATCACGATTATTTATCTTGTTGCTTTCTGAGATGTGTAAACATATTTCGTTTTGTATCTGACCAGTACGCGAATTTAGAAATTTTCGAATGTTGAAAGTGTCTAAAAAAAAAGAAAAGAAAATTAAAGTGCGTCAGTCCATATGCCACACACGAAGCAACGACAGCTGTTTAAAAACATTTTTCAGAAATCTTCCAGGCCAATAAAATGTAGTTTTCTTTTCTTTTTTTTTTTGATAGACACATGGAATAATTTTTATATTCTGCTTAAAATTTAAATAGTTTTTATATATAATTTTTGCCCATTTTTGAGCAGCTAGAGGGAAAAATACCTAATAGCTATGGGCTGGATTAGCTGGAGAATGATAAATGCATAAGATGGCAGTTAAATTGCTAAAAGACAATGCAAACATTTTTAATATTTAGCTGCACAGACACTGGAAAACGTTCCGTGCGCAAAAACAAAGTCATAAATAAATTTACAACAGCATTGCATGCAAATTTTCAAGGCAAATGCCTCCGGCCTCGCTCGCCTGCATATGGAAGGAACCCTGTACTCGGCACCCTGTAACCTGTATCCAGTTGCGGGTCATAAGCAATGCCCAAAGTAATATTAGAGTATATCTGTGTGTGTATGTGTGCCAGGATTAGACAGACTTAAATGAATTTATGGCATGTGCTAATCTAAAGGGGTTTTCATATTGCCAACAAAAGTGTGGCACGCAAAGGTTGGGAAGGGCATGAGCATTACATATGTAAGTAAAACCAGGAAAAGATTAAAGTGCAAAATACTTGGAATAGAAAATTACTTATTTATACTAAGAATATGCAAAACAAAATACTATATTTTATTATTGATAGTAAAAAGATACCAAAATATATTGCATATTGTAATTGAAACATATATATATACATATATAAATATATTTAAGGAAAAGTACAAAATATTCTTTATAATAGATATATTTGTTGAAGAAATTTTAATGCAAGTTTCATTCGAGTCCCGGCTATATATATGTATATATACAAATTGTAAGAAATAAGAAAATATCTCTCTATTTTCATATTTTTATTATCAAAAGACACATTTCTTTACAAAAGTGACTGGAAGACTATAATATTTTTTCTAACTATATTTTTACAATTTAAAGGCATATTTGTTGAAAAAATTTGAAGTTCTTTAGGATGCGTAGAAGAGTATTTTTATAATACCCTCCCAAATAGTACCAAAAAGTAGGTCATATATCTGGACCTATTTAAATGTTCCTTTGCTCAAGAGTATAAAAAACAGAAATTTGAGATTACTTTAATCGACTTATTTGCTATATATTTATTTTCATTGATTGCAATATCTTTCTTATGAAACGTGGGTCGGGGATTTTTCTGATTACCTCATATCATTATTTACATTTAAATATTTTTGCAAAATTGCAACTATTTCAGCAAGTATTTTGTTTATATTTTGCTACCCGTTGTTCACAGTTTATATTGCAATTAAATCTCAAGTACACACATGGGCCTGCAACCACCTGAGCAGTCGGCCTTAGATCTGAGCACGTGTCAAAATTTATGGTAAGAGCATTAACTATTATAGCCATGCACATTTCTAAGCCCATGACTAAGCCCATATCAAGGCCCCACAAATAACAGAGTCGAACGTATATCAATTATTTCACCCCGTCGCTGAGCCGTCGAGATGCAAATGCAGGCAATAGATACTTTCCCCAAATGTTTACGCAACTAATTTTAAGCGCCAAACGTGCAGCAGACACAAAGTTCGGTGAGTCGTATAAGCAAGCGTTGCAAATACCCAAAATTGTTGGCTATACAATTAGTGCACGCTGCGTGAAGCGATTGGGCAAGGGCTGAGGGACACAGCGGGGGTTGTATTGATGAAAAGCAGCAAAATTCCAATTTGTAAATTTTGTGGCACTGGCTTCCTTTTACACAGCATAACCCCCAAAAACCCCAGCCCTGCCACGCTTACGCTCGACTTTAGCCTTCTTTCTGTGTGCATTTGCCTATTTAACAGCAAATGCCTGGGGGCTGGCATTAGATGCCACGCCCACGTTGTGTGCAGTGTCAGGAACAGGGCGAGCGCAAGTTGATTATGCGTTGTTTTGCCACTTAATGTAATGAAATATGCATAATGCCATTAGCCAGCGACAGGCAGCGTGTGGGCGTGGCTTAAATACCATAGCAACATGATTACAATACGCATACGCCGCGTGTGCACGCATTTTAGCAGCCGCACAACAACAACAATGGGAGCAAGACTGTGCTTAATATGCGCCAAAGCTCATGAATTGCAACTCAGTGCTGCATGGATTTAAAGTTGTATTCAACTTAAATAAATATTGTTGCAATAGCAGCTTGCATATTTCTTTTATGTTTTCTTTCATTTGTTATTTATTTACACTTTTGGTTTACTTTGCTTTGGTTTGCTCAAGCACAACCTGATCGATATGAAAAGTTTTTGACTGTAATTTTGTTGGCTTTGCCAGTTGCAATTTGAATTTTATAATTTGTTGTAAGACCTGTGCCTGACTTGAGCTTCTCCTGGAGTTTTGTGTTACTCGACTGACTGCTGAAAAAGTCTGTAAAACTTACTCAAAACAAAAGACGCTTCTTGAGTTTGGGCTTTAGTTTTGTTACTAGCTATAAAACAGTAATGAAATTGTTATATTTAAGATTCATTTCATTATTAAGATAGTGTGATTATTATCGATGCTTAAACTGATTCGGCTTGTGCCGGCATTCCGAATTTTTTATTCAACACGAGGCAAACTTTTAGAGAACTATAGAAGAGTCAAATATACAACTGAAGCAAGCAATTTAAAAACAGATTTATTTTTAAAAATTTCCTGCCTTAGTCAAAATAATTGTTTGATATCGGAAAATGCTTTTGGGGAGTTTCTTAGTAATTGACGTTGCGCTCAGAATATGAAAATAAACCCAAGTTTTGGTAAATAAGAATAAATAATATAATATATGTATTAAATATGTTAAACCCAATTCAATTGCTCAATTGAAATTTGTTTCAGCTAAATTAGGCTACATTTTTTTTAAGTCATAGTTTATTATTTCATTTAACACTTGCCCATATGCAGGGCGTGGCAGTATGGTGTTGCAACACTTCATAAAATTGAACACGTTAAGCTGTTAAATAAATATATGCATGTTTTCGTGCCTAATGAGCTGCATGCGACAAATTGAAGGCACACACTCCGATATTTCGGAAAGCCAATTAGCATGCAAAACAAGTTGCAGCTATAAATGCACAACTTACACACACACACACAAACAAACACAGAGGACGAAACAAGCAAATGCATTGCATTTATGGGAAAATGCATAAATATTGTCACACACACACACACACACAGACACAGATGTCTATATGTGTTTTTGCATATTGGCGCTTCTTATTTAGAGAGAACAACAAAAGTGAGGCTACAACGCGACGCAGCGCTGGCGGCAGCTGCGCCACTCGCGGCAGCAAATGTATGCAACATTATGCGGCATGTGTGCTAAACAGTCATGAATTTCAAGCAGACGCCGCAAACAAACCATGCAACCAACGAACCAACACACACACGCACACCTCCCATATATCTTTCCCGCTTGCACATTCTTTGCATGCGTAATGGATGCAGTCGCCTCAGAGACTTTCCGTTTGACTCTTGGCATAAAAACGACCGCGAAAATTGTGAAAAGCAGCGAACTGTGCTCAATTCCCCAGAATTTCCGCGTGCACTTCCGCTTTTCATTTGCATACAAACACGCACACTCACACGCATGCACATCCATCGAGCACACACATAGATCATGCTCGGGTAATTTGCATGGCATTCGCAAATGCAAATTGCATGCAACTCCGCAGCTGCAGCTGGCCCCAAAATGCACCAATAAGCATGCTAAACAATTGCACCTCTCTCCCGACACTCCCCTTGAATGACGCATGTCGCAAGCCAGACATTCATCAATTTCCCATTGATTTGTCATCGGCAACCGACAACCGACAGCCAAAGGTATTCATTCCCCCTTGCCAGGAGGCCCTTTGATGAAATTGAGATGGTAAACATCAAATGATTGCAACTCCATACAACTGTCTGTATGCCAGTTAGTCATTTGTGTTTCACTGTATCACCCATTGTATGTCCTCATCAATGGCCGGCAGCGTCAGCTATGGCAATCAATTAATATAATAATAATAATAATAGCCATACATGTGTAAACTGATATGTCTATTCAAAAATATTTGCCTAATTGACAATCAATTAGCGTTAATTAAAAGGCTCTAGAGCGCACGT